CTAAGAATTCTTATTTCCATATCAAATCTTCTAATTATAATTATAGATCATGTAATTTATTTGACAATGTTCTAGACTAATTTGCAATTACACTATTCCAAAATCCTAAGCCAATTAACTAAACACATCCGGCTATCACAATGACCGCGTACTAATCGATTTAATTTATTTATAAAAGACTAAATTGAGAATTGAGTCTTAGAACGTACCGATTGAAAATCGGATGACGAACCCACAATCTACACGAGAAGAGGAAGATTCTGCCTTTTGATGTCTCGCCGGAGTGTTGCCGGCTGGTTGCCGGGCCGCCGCCATCGCCGCCATGCAGGGTGCCCAGAAAGTCGCGGATGCCCAGAAATTTACAACGATCACACCATTCGACTCAAAAAGTTGCAAGGAGTTCAAATCCGTCATTTATTTATGGGTTTAGTGAGCCAATCGAGTTTAGTGAAGCCAACTCGACCGGAATCGCACTTGGTAGCCCCACGATATTACCTCTACCTCCACCTTCAATGGTGTCTTCGCAGAACCGAGCCAAACGTCGAGCTTCGTGGAGGGGAAAGTGTTCGCAAGTCGTCTAAGGGCCATTCGCGCCCAATCTCCTCACTCACGGCGATCGGAAACAATGGAAAGTCGCCTGAGATCGAAGAGCATGACTGTCGGATGAGACGACCTTGATTCGCGTTGCTGGAGGTCTGATCGGAGCTAGGGAAGGTTGGAACGTGTCTAGCATCACCAAAGGAACCGATCGCCACCTCCATCTTGCTGAATCGTGGCCGGAAACGAGAAGGAGAGGGAGGAGGAGGGGCTGTTGCGCGTGAGGAAGAAGAAGGGGAAGAAGAAAGAAAAGAAGAAAGAGCAAGAAAAGACGTCTCTAGCAGAATCTGGGTCATTCCGGTTCGATTCGAACTGGTTTGATTCAATTCAGAGATTTAGCTCGATTTTATTTTGTTATCTGGTTTTTCCACTTGGTTTTTTAGGGTTATTCGCGTGGTTTCGGAAAATCCAATTTGATTTTCTGGGTCCGGTATCGTTTACTTTTAATTATTTTACTTGACGTTCGCTTACTTTTTCTCCATTTTACTCAATAATTAATAAAATATTAAATAGTAATTGACTATTGATTTTAGCGATAAATATTTATATTATCATAATCGATTAAGTTGCTGAGTTTCATATCATTTCTTGAAAATTTATATAATTGTTCTCAAATTCGAAAATTCCTATATTCATAATAGATTAAGTTGCTGGAGTTTCATATCATTTCTTGAAAATTTTAATTGTTCTCAAATCGAAAATTCCGATGATATATTTGGGCTTAGGCCTAACTTGCAAACTTGGGCTCGAATTGAGATTTTATTATACTTGCAGCCCGCATGATCAAAATTTCTGATTTTTGATTTAATAAAAATTCAAAGCTTTCGAAAATAAAAATTTGGGGTGTTTCAATTAGTTTCTCTCTTTTTAGGGGATTGTTTCTCTTTATTGAGGAGTTTGTGTGAATATTTTATTTCTCGAATAGTTAGAAAGATATGACGGATTGTTGATTGCTTGTGGTTGAAGACTTCAGATCTTCGAGTTTGGATAAGTTTCTTTTACTAATAAAGACTGGTAGTGTTTCTCCATTAAAGTTTAATATATTAAACTCTTCTACGAGTGTTAGGATAAGTTTCAAAAATATAATATTTGGGACAATATTGTGAAAGGTTTTGTCATCCTATTTGAAAATAAACCCATTTTTACCCAAAAGATTAACATTTTATAGACAAGAACATCTCCAAACAGAGATTTCAATTTTCTATATTTGTATTTCTAATTCTTATAGGAATATTATGTTGTACTCAACTTATATTCATTGTTAATAAATTGTTAATTTTTTTTCTAAAAAATAAGAAAAATGCAATAAAAAAAAAAGATAAATTATGAAAGTGGTGGTAGCTGATAATGATTGGTGGTGGAGGCTGAAAAAGACAGTGGCCGATGGTGAATGATAACAAGTGATAATACCTACCGATAATTAATACATTAAAACATATAAATTTATAAAATTATTATAAATTTATCTTACAAATTATTTTACACAAATAAACTGATCCTTAATAAAAAATTTGGTGTGCTTCTCAAATTTCTCACGTGGCTTTTATCTTTTGAGAATTCATAAAACTGCGCCACGTGGTGGATAAGATAGAAATATAAAGAACACAATAACTATTTGCACTCTCTCCCCTACTCGTCAATAGAAAATATATTCTCTACCTCTTTCTCCCACTCTCCAAGGAATACACATTCACCACATCTCTCCATTCTTTCAACGAATGCACGTTCGCCATAGTTTTACATTCACAGTTTGAGAGCACGACTTCAAGGTTATTCAATTTGATTGCATTATTAAAATAATATACAAAATATCTGCGCGTGAAACGCGGTACTAAGACTTGCATTTCTATATACTTTCATCTCTTATTTATTCTATTTGGACAGATTGAAATAATAGTAGACTGCATCTATACCAAAAAGAGAATTTGAAACTTTTTCATATTTTTTTAAATTGATAAGATATGATGACTGAATATACAAATTATCTAATACACTGTTGAAAATAAACGGTAACTTATTTTAATTGATTTAGTCATAATTTCACACTTCATGCGCAATAATTGAAAGTGTTTCAGTAAATTTTTATTAATAATAATTATTAATTATTTTAAAATTATTAATTTTTAAATTTAAAAATCAAATATTTGAAATTTAATAATCTTTTTATTGATTAAATTTTTCATATCCGAATTTACGAATTTACCAAAGACGAAGCTACCTATTGGAGAAGGGGGCAATTGCCCTCTCCTTTTCTTGGAAAAAAAAAATTTGTTGAAGTTGAAAATAGCGATAAGGTGAAAATAAGGAGGGATGCATGTCACACAAGTAGGGGTGAGCACGGTTTGAAAAAATTTTCAAATCAAACTATATAAATTACGGTTTTTAAGTTTTTCAATCCAAATCAAACCATATAATCAATAAAATCAAATTATACCAAACTGCAAAGAACGTTTTGGTGCAGTCCAGTTTGCGATTTGATAATTATAAAAATAATTTAATGATCATTTTAATTATAATATATAATGTATAACATAATAAAAAAATTTATAACTAGCAAAAAATGTTCATTTATTTGATAATATAAAGTATAAAATATAAAATATCAATTTTTGCAATTTTAAAAAATAAAAACAATAAGATTATATGCAAGTAATGTTCATGATCCAGCAAAGTATAACTTACCAATAAGAACTTATTCATAAAACAAATAAATTTCTTTCAATACTATAGCATTAAGAACGTAAGAAATGACACCAAAAAGAAGTTGTCCCGTTCACAAGGTGTAATTTTAAGTTGAATTTATTTTGTTAGTGTAAAATAAATTACATGTTTGAAATTTGTTATTAATGCGGTTTGATTCTTGTTTTAAATGATTTAATTAAATAAAAACCAAATCAAACTGTTTTTAAATGGTTTATCAAATTATAAACCAAATCAAATCGGTTAAAATAATAAATCATTTAAAATAGACGGTTTGGTGTGGATTGATTTGGTTTTGCGGTTTAAACCGTTTAATACTCACCAAACCAAACCGTTGATAACTATTAATCTTTATATTTTTTTAAACTTGTTTAAGGCTTTTACTCGAGCAAAGATAGTAATTATCTTGTGTTGATACAGAATACGCATTATTTGACACATGTATATAGAAACCTGTTACTCAACCTATTATCTATTATCTAGATATTTTTTAACTTTATTTTTTTTCCTTCATATCTATCTTGTATTCTGTAACCTATTATATATTTAAAATTTCTTCATATCTATTTGTATTCTTGTAACCTATTTAATAATTTAAATTTATTATATTATATATATATATTATATACTATATTTACTATTATACTTATATATAGTATTTTAAATATAAAAATAGTTATCTAAATATATAGAAAATAGATGGAGTTGTCATTTGATATATCATTTAAATTTATATTTAAATTAAAAATAATTATTTAATATATCGGAATATAATAAATGGATTAATTAAATTTGATTAGTTATTTTTTATATACATTGGATGTCTATTTAGATATTTTCAAAAAAAAATATAATAAATAATTTATTATGATTAAATATACAATATGAATCCTATTTTTAAAATATAAATGAAATTTAACGATAACAATTAAAGATTACTTCTATACTAATTTAGAATTACAAAGATACAATTTTATTATAGATTAATGTTATATAATTCGATATTATACAAAGGTTAAGATTTATGAAGCCTTGGAGTGATATAATTTAATTTTAATTAAATAATTTATATTAAAAAACTTATATAATATAATTTAAATATTTAATTTTTAATTAAATAATATTATATTAAAAACTATATAATATAATTTAAATTACATGATACATGATAAATATATTAAAGAAAAGAAACTAAAAATTTATAATTATTTATTAAAATCTAAATAATTTATTTTGAGTAGATGAATTCGAAGTATTAGACAATCATTTATTTTTGAATTTTTATGTTTTACATAATTATAGTGATGTTGAAAATAGTTTTTTTTTTTTAAGTTGCTTCTTGAAAATATTATTTTTTTTAATTTACATAATTAAATAGTTTTTATATTTTAATTAAAAAACTAAATCCTCACCTATTCTATAGGTGATAAGTCATTTAATCAATTTTAAATCTAATGGTTTATATCTAATTAGTTCAAATCTAATGGTGAATAAGAATTCTATATCAATACAGAAATTTTTAAATCTGTACTCTAGTTTTACCTCTCGTTTAAATGAGTTTGAAAATTTTAAAAGAATGCGGATAAAAATACCTAAACAGATTTAAAAATGATATCTGGATAATAAAATCATAAATGCCCAATTGTTTGGGTCCAATCTATCAGCACCAATTTACGGCCCAACGCCTAATTATACATTCAAATTTGTGTTGGGCTTCTTCATGATACGCGTGTCCGAAACTGCCCGACACACAAAGCTGAGGTAATGCTACCGTGGAAGACGACAACCTCGAGTCTCACGGAGGCCAAAGACAGAGAGCACCGTCGCAACTCATAAATCACAGCTCATCTTTGCCCTCACGAGGGCGAGGTCCCAATCGATGGCGGCATTTGATTCTTCAACTTCCACAAGTTGTCGCTATGGCTGGGGCGGATCCAAAATCGTGATTTGAATCTTCAACCATTTGGTTAAAGTTCGCGCAAAACCTCAATCAACTACTAAAGATAATGTTTGGAATCTCTTGTGGCGAATCTTTCTTTTGCTTGGAACCACTGCTGCACTAATTGGTTACTCCTCCATCTCTTCCTCCGTCTCAAAAGAGAAACAAATGTCATTATGCAAATGAAGTTAGAATATTGAAGTTAATTCAATGCATTTGAATTATTAGGACACAAGGATCTACCAGTAATAGCAAGAACAGCTGGGAGATTAGCCGGTGGTGTTTGTATTACCACTATGTTTCTGTTATATATATATATATATATATCCCTTTTGCATATTTTTTTTCCTCTTTGGTTCAAAGGCCTCGGATTCATGTTCTATGCACAGCCAGGCAACCGTATATGCAAGATTGGCTGAAGCTTCTGCCCAAAAGACTGGCTTATTGGACAGTGGTGCCGATGCAGAAAAGTTGATTGATGATGCTGGGAGCTTCTGCCCAAAAGACTGGCTTATTGGACAGTGGTGCCGATGCAGAAAAGTTGATTGATGATGCTGGGCTTCCAAATGTTCTACCTGTATCTGCTGAAAGTGCTGGGATGTTACCGAAACGCTCAGGTAATAATCTTTACTCAGATGCAGTTACTATCTTCTCTTTACATCTAGAAATGATGCCATTTGTTGTCTGGTGCATTATTAGTCCTGGTGCTACTGAAGCAGGGCTAAATTAATAAGTAAAATAGGATTGTGGCTCTTTGTGTGTGTGTGTGTGTGTGTGTGTGTGTGTGTTTTCGTGGATGGTGTACTGTTATAACTCTTCTATTAACTCATGGTCTCTTATATTGCACCTATTCCGCCTTTCTTTCTTTTTTTTTTTTCCCCTATTATGCTTGCATGCATAGACCAATGGGATTCTTTTTGTAAAACGTTTATCAACGTGACATGTGATGAATTATTTATATAATAAAAGGGCTATAGAACTATGTGTATTCTAATGTTTATTCCTCTGTTGTAGATAAATGAGGTGTTCCTGTTCATTTTCTGTGTCCTGAACATCCCAATACCATCTACAATAACATAGACGATAAAATTTTGAAAGCAAAGCAGTGAGAGATGAGCTAAAATTTTGAAAGCAGGCCTCTTTTAGTTCTTGGTGCCTCCTTTAGTTGTAGCCTGAGGAGGCTAAAACAGAGAACATATAGCATGTCTCATATTGTAATAACATCCTTCTCCTATTGAACACAAGTTAAAACTATGAGATGATGTAGATATAAGAATTTACTTGTTCCTTCTCCCTCTCTCTCTCTGTCAGTGTGTTCATATCTCTAAATAAAGAAGAAAAGAAGAAAAGAATTTACTTGTTAAAGAACACTTTGATTATTATGAAATTAAATCTGTTACTTTTAGACTTGATGCTTTTTTGGGAAAGTTGAGAAAACTAAAACTAAATTTATCATCGTTTAGAGGTGGAATGCTAAAATGTCAATCCTGGAAAACAAAAACCAAATTGTTCTGCTCACTAACTTCTGCATTTTAGTTATGAACTTGATTTAGTAGATTCTTGATATTGCAAAACATTGTGGCTTGAAATATAAATTATATAACTAAACTATACATGTACATTTTCCTAATCACAGTGCTAAATTCTGATTCTAGTTTTATTGATGTCTGTTAGAGTTAAGAACGCAGCAGAGATAAGTTAAAGAAGAGAGAAGGAGAAATAGAGGTTAGATGACATTAGAGATTGGAACTTCCATTAAATGAGAATTCAGATTTACAAACAGGTCTTGATTGAAGAACAGGGAAGATAATAACAGAAAGGGAAAAATAAAGTAAAAAGAAAGGTTGCAATTTCGATACCTTCTCATTTGAATCGCTAGCTATATATATGATTTCCCCCTAACAGAATCTGCTTATGTGTCCAGCAGTGTTGCTAATTCCTTTACTGCCCTCTTTGTTCTTTGTTTCTTCTAGAAGAAACCTTGTAGGCCTTAGGCTTTTCTCAACAGTCCTATCATTACCATCCCTTGGGAGACAAGCCTTGTCCTCAAGGCTGAAATTAGGAAATTGCCCCAACATATCAGCTTCATCGATCCAGGTTGCTTCATCTTCTGTCTTTCCTTGCCACTGTGTTAATAATTGGCGAACTGGCTGATTGTTGATCATTGTTGTACGGTTTTAGCAGACCTTTTTAGGCTGGAGCACAGGTGCCTCATGGTTGTTTAAATTCTTTGGTAAAGTATATAACATAGAGTGGTTGCCAATAACCCTTTTCAGCTGGGAGACATGAAAATAGGGTGTATCTTGGCGTCTGAAGGGAGTTTCATCTTGTAATCTACTGCACCAATCTTGTCAATGATTTCAAATGACCTATAACCTGGCAGCCAGCTTAGCATTAATTCTGGTAGCTACAGATTGTTGACGGTGAGGACGAAGTTTCAAGAATACTTTGTCTCCAACAGAGAATAGGACATCCCTACGCTTTTTGTTCACGTATTTTGTCATTAGCTGCTGTGCTCTGTGTAGATTAAACCTCAGCTGCCTAAGAATTTCATCTCTATTGCAGAGGTGTTGAGACAAGGCTTCGACCTGAGATTCACCTAGTAAGAATTGATGTAGAGTAGGAGGTTTACGGCCATAGACAGCTTCAAACGGTGTCAGCTTGATGGCTCCCTGGAAATTTGTATTATACTGGTACTCTGCCCAACATAGCCATTTGCTCAATGACTTTAGTTGGTCAGAGGAGAAACACCACAAGTAAGATTCCAAGCTCCTATTAAGGACTTCTGTTTGTCCATCCGTTTGAGGATTATAAGAGGAGCTGAACTTGAGTTGCGTACCCTATGGGCGGAATAATTCAGTCCAAAAGCTGCTTAAGAATAAAGGGTCTCGATCACTAACCATAGACCTCGGAATGCCATGGAGGCGAACCACCTCTCTGATAAACAGTTCAGCAACTTTGGCAGCTGTAAATGGATGCCGAAGAGGGATGAAATGAGCTGCTTAAGAATAAAGCGGCTCATCGATCACTAACCATAGAACCTCGGAATGCCACATGGAGGGAACCACCCTCTGATAACAGTTCAGCAACTTTCGGCAGCTTGTAATGGTGCGAAAGAGGGATAATAGCGTATTATGGATAGGCGAAATGGATGCCGAAGAGGGATGAAATGAGCGTATTTGGATAGGCGATCGACAACCACAAGGATGTAGTGAACCCCATTAGACTTGCGTAATCCTGTGATGAAGTCAAGTGCAATATCTTCCCAAACTTGAAGAGGTACATGTAAAGGCTGCAATAGACCAGCTGGTGATTGAGCCTCATATTTGTGTCATTGACAAACAATACAGGAAGCAACAAAGTCTTGGATCATAGCCATCATCCCTTGCTAATAGAAGTTAGATGCAATTCTTCGGTAAGTTCGGAAAGCACTAGAATGACCCCCCATAGCAGTTGAGTGGAACTCAGAAATTAATTTTGGTAGCCAGCTAGAAGATGATGGAAGTACTAACCTGCCCTTGTAGAAGAGGCGATCGTGAATGATCGAATAGTGGGCTGGAGCTATACTCGGAGAAGAGAGAGCTGAAATGATATTGAAAAGGTGGGCATCTTGTTGAATTTCAGCATTAATTGTATCCCAATCAATCCATTGAGGAATAGAGATGCTTTGAAGAGTCAATTCTTCGCCCTTTCGTGATAAGGCATCTGTTGTCTTATTTGTTTTGCCAGAGCAGTATTCAATGACGAAGTCATACCCCATAATTTTGGCTGACCAGTATTGTTAGGCAGGGGTGGAGACCTCTTAGTGCAATAGATGATGCAAACTACGCTGATTGGTTCGAATTGTGAATCAACGACCGATAAGGTATGGCCTAGTGTCTTATTGCAAGGACTACAGCCATTAACTCATTCTCATAAGCTGATATAGTTGTTGCAGGGTTGCCAGTTGCCTTGCTGAAATAAGTAATTGGTTTATTGTCTTGCATTAGTACAACACCAACTCTAGATTTTGAAGCATCGGTCTCAACAATGAAGGGTTTGGAGAAATCTGGCAGAGCTAAAACTGGAGAAGAAATTATGGCAGCTTTCAGGGCATCAAAAGAGGCTTGTGCTTGTGAGTTCCACTGAAAATCAGCAGCTGTTTCCTTCTTTAATAGCTGAGTCAGCGACTGTGCAATGCATCCATAATTCAGTATGAAGCGCCGATAGTACCCTGTCAAACCCAAAAAATCCCCTGACAGCTTTAATAGACTCGGTATTGGCCATTGTAAGATGCTTGAAATCATAGAAGGTTCCATGGAAACACCTTGGGAGGAAATGACATGTCCCAAGTATTCAAGAGAAATTCTGCCGAAAGAGCACTTTTTGGCATTCAAGTGTAGTGAATGGTTTATGAGCAGCTGAAATACAAGTTCTAGGTGGTGTAGATGGTCTTGCCACGACTTACTATAAACCAGTATGTCATCGAAAATACCAGAACAAACTTGCGTAAGTGCGGCCAAAATATGTCGTTCATAACTGCTTGGAATGTCACTAGGGCATTGGTTAATCCGAACGGCATTACCAGAAATTCATAGTGCCCGGAATGAGTGCGGAAGGCCGTTTTGTGAGTATCGGAAGGAGCCATTAATATTTGATAAAATCCCTGTTTCATATCTAGCTTCGAGAAGAACTGGGCTCCATGTAGCTCGTCAAGCAATTCTTGACTAATTGGAATAGGGTATTTGCGAGGAACAGTTGTTCGATTAAGGTGGCGGTAGTCGACACAAAATCACCAGCTGCCGTCTTTCTTCTTAACCAATAAAACTGGACTAGAGCTGGGCTTGATGATTCCAGCAGAAAGCATATCAGCAACCACTTTCTCAATTTCATCCTTTTGGAGATGCCCATATCTGGAAGGCTTTATTGAAATAGGACCCTGTCCAGGTTGAAGTATGATTCTATGGTCTTGTGGACGGCTGGGAGGAAGGTGTTTTAAGTCCTCAAAGATTGTAGGGAATTTCAATTGGAGCTGCTGGAGTTGCTGAGATTGACTAGAGGAGAGGGCTGTTGAGTTGGCTGAATATTTTGTGTCTGCAGATAATTCCCATAAAAACCCAGAAAATTCAATGTCATCAATAGCTACCTTTGATAGGGACTTAATGGAAGCTCAAGAACGGGACAATGAAGGATCCCTAGTGAGAGTTACCCAATTTCCATTATAACTGAATACCATAGTCATTTTCAGCCAATCGACCTTGACTTCCTCCAAAGTCTCTAGCCAAGCAATACCCAAAATAATATCAACTCCACCCAAAGGGAAAACAAAGAAATCTCCTGTTATCCCAATAGAACCAAACTGAAGCTTTAAATTCTTATAAACACCTCTGGATTGAATCCGATGCCCATCACCTAATTTGACAAAGAAGGGAGGCATGGGACTAATCATTAAATTGAGTGATTGAACCATATCTCCAGAGATGAAGTTATGGCTGGCACCACTGGCAATCATTATGGTGACCGTTTGAAGTGATAGGGTGCCCTTAAGCTTCATCGTACGAGGTCGTGAAATACCCCCCACTGAATAGAGTGGTAAATCCAGTTCAGAGAAGTGAGCTTCATCCAGTTCAGTAGAGAGAAAATTGGAGGAAATGGGTTCCATATCTGCAAATAAACCATCATCTGTTAGAACATCATCTTCACCGCCAATTAGAGCTCTCAGTGACTTATTGGGGCACTCCTGTAATGGAGAATAAGGCTGTTTGCAATGTAAACACAGTCCCTTGGCTCGAAGCTCTTGGCCATCATCTGTTAGAACATTCATCGTCACCGCCAATTAGCAAGCTCTCAGTGGACTTATTGGGGCACTCCTTGTAATGGAGAATAAGGCCTGCTTTGCAATGTAAACACAGTCCCCTTGGCTCGAAGCTCTTGGTTAATAATTATGGGCAGTAAGTGGCGAATGCCACGCAAATTTTGTAGAGTATGGGGTCGGTTGGAGGAGGGGCAGGTTAGGCGGTGACGAGGTTGATCTGGTGGTGGGTTAGGCGTTTGTGTTTGGTCAGTTTGATTAGCGCGGATCGAGTGGGAATTGATTTCTGTCCGGGTCGGCGAAAGTAAATTTGGTGTGCGGGCACGAGTCTTGTAGTTGCGCGAAAAAAAAATTCTTGCGCGCCAAGTCCAAAACACTTGCTTAGCTATGTAAGTCGCTAACGTATTTTGACGGACTGGGTTTGTTTAAACGGACGGCGGGGTTGGATTGACAAGACGGCTTTCCCATTTCCAACTTCTCGAGCCGGGTGCAGAGCCCTGTATAATTCCCCAGTATCAGAAGGAACGCGACTTTTTACCACGTCTATTTCCTTCCTTGAGGTCAAATTGAGAAAATACGCCGCATTCAATTGAGGATCAGCAGAGAGCTGCGAGCTTGAGCAGCTCTGAAAGATGAAATCATAACTATCATTAGGTGACAGTTACCCAGTTTCGTTTGACAGCTAAGCAAGAAGCCTCCCATATCGGGTTAGAGACAACATCGCCATTGCTATGCATCGTGATTGAGTTCATACTTTGAATTGGCGTCCAACCTAGCTGAGGATTTCAAAAAATGAAGAGGTGCTCCTTCCATAGAACACATACGAAAACAGAGACTTGGGAAAGCCTGCGTGGCGGTGTTATGAAGTTCCAAAAATACTGTTACGGCTTTTTGCCTATCTAAGCCAACAAAGGTCCTATGCCATTGAAGGTAAGGCATATCCAGTTTTTGGGTATGAAGATGGGTTTCGGATCTGTAAAAAGGTCTGGTGGCTGGTGTGGTTTTGTATGGGAGGATGTTTCTTCTTGGGACGTTGGTGAGGCATGGGTGGGGCGAGCTTTCAGAAGATTAATCGGCTGGCCCGGCTTTCCACGATTAAGGTCTTCGAGGATGGGATTTGCATTTCTAATATTATTCAGCGGGAAGGTTGTGCAGGTGGAAAAGAGGTGCTTCAAATGGAGGATAGTTTGTGTTGCTTGAATTTGTAGCATACGTTCTTCTCTAACGTTTCTACTCTGATTCCATCTCTTCGTTATGGCATCTGGCAGGTCGGCACCCAATTTGTTACGAGTTAAGCAACGCAGCAGGAGATAAAGTAAAGAGAGAGAAGAAGAAATAGAGCGTTAGATGAAATTAGATTTGGACTCTTCATTAAATGGAGAATTCAGATTTACCAAGCAGGTCTTGCATTGAACGAAACCAGGAAGATAATAACAGAAACGGGAAACAAATAAAGCCTTCAAAAACGCAAGGCTTGCCAAGCAACCCCAGGACCAAGCCCGATACAGCCAGAGAGAAGCACCCCCTGCCAAATAACAACACTCGATCAATCTCTTTTTGACACCTTTCTCATTCCAATCACTAGCTATATATATGATTCCCTTTCGTAACAGAAATCTGCTGATCTGTGGTCCAGCCAGTGTTCTTGCTACATTCCTTGACCTGCCGCCTCTTTGTTCTTTGTTTCTCTAGAATAAAACCTCTGGTAGGGCCTCTGGGCTTTTACTCACAGTCACTATCTAATTGCTCTTTTAAAACCTTCAATTTTGTCTTGACCTGCATGTTCTTGTCTTCTCTTTGGTAGACAGTGGCCATATTAATTCAATAGTATTCGAAAAGTTGCATTGTGCCTCTGCTTCATATTTTACATTTATGCAGCATTTTCATTAGTGCATTCGGATCTTAAATCAATGCATCTAATACCATTACAGCTCCATTTCTCATGTACATTGGTGGACTCGTTGATTCTCTTGCAAACTGTGTAGTGTATCTTTAGTAAAAAAAAAGTTATGAAAAAGGTTCTTGCCATAGCTGTATATTCTGCAAGGATGCACATATTGATGTGCATGGACAGATGAGATAAAAGATCCTGACATTGTACGTTGGAAGCGATCATTGGACGGGCTGAGGTGCGCTTCAGCGATGCCCAAAGGAAATTTTTTGCACAGCCCCAAAAACCAAATCGAAATATGAATTGACGTGAATACTTCTGTCTCTAAGGTAAGCATTTCTAATCAAGCAATTCCGGCCAAAACAATGAGGATGCCAAATTTTTTTATGCGTAGACTGAGATTCAGCTCAACCCCACAATTCCCCTTGCATGCGGAGCTAGATTGGCTAATTCTGCATTATGTACATACAACAATTACTTAGCAAGTTCAGATCGTTGCTGCTTTTGCTCTTTTGACATCTTTGTTTTTCTTTTTGCTCCTGCAGATTTTTGCTATTTCTGATGGAACCTTGTAGAGAGTGCTACTCAAGGAGAGTTATTTGGCCAAGTGAGAAGGGAAAAACTCAAGAACCTCTTTTATTATTAGTTGTAAATCCAAAATCCGACCTCTTTAGCCCTCATTATAAGGCACGTGTTATATAGTTAATAGGAATCCATGTCTATAACTCTAGGCGGACTTTCTAAATCGAGCCGCCGAGCTTGACGCTCAAAACTACCAGCTTCAAAAGCCGCTCCAACAATCTAATTGAGCTTGAAAATTTTAGGCCTTGAGCCTTTGACTCTTGAGCGCTCGATTAGGTTCAACTTTGGAAAATTTTTAAGCTCAATTTGCTCGAGTTAACCAAAATTAGGGGGGTTGAGCAGTGTGTTCTGCGTTTTGGATGCGGTTTTGAAAAATTTTCTGAAACCCAAATCATAATTACGGTTTATAAAATTTTTTAATCCAAAACTACAAACCATTTACTCAACTGAAATCAAAGTGCAAAAAGCGGTTTGGTTGACTGTCTGCCGTTTACGCTTTGCATACCATTAACAATAATTTAATAATCCTATTGATCAATCTGAATTCAAACAACATGAATAACATTAATATATAATTTATTAATCTATTAACAAACTAAAATAACTGAAGCCTTGAAAATTTTAGGCTCTGAGGCTTGACTTGAGGCTCGAGCTTCAAATTTGAAAAATTTTTAAAGCCTCACATTGCTCGAGTAACCTAAAATTAGGGGTGAGCATGGTTTGGTTTTTGATGCGGTTTGAAAAAATTTCTTGAAACAAAATCATCTTCAATTACGTTTATAAATTTTTTTAATCCAAACTAAACCATTTACTCAATGAAATTCAAAGTGCAAAAAAGCGGTTGTTGGTGATGTCTAGGTTTACGGTTTTTGATACCATTAAAATCAAATTTAATAATTATTATAAATCTGTAATTAAATAACATTTAATAAATTAATATTATAATTTATAATCTATAACAATAAAAAATTATAACTTAGCAAACAAAGCTGCTACGTTATTTGCAATAACATAAAACGTACAAAATTTTAAAATATCAATATGCTTGCCAACTTTAAATTTATAACAAACAAATAAGGACTATACTGCAAGTAATATTTATGAATCCACCAAGTGTAATATTACCAATAAGAATTTACTTCACTAAAACCAAACTAAAATTTTTCAATACGTCATAAACATTAACAAAAACATTAAGAAAATGACACACCAAAAAGAAAGCTTATCCACGTCTCATAAGCTGTATTTTCAAAGTTTCAAATTTAGATGAAAGCCATAACAATTGTCAAATTAATACCACAATGAACCAATCATTAGCAATATCAATAAAGCAGGCGTTCCTTGCTTGCAAGATTTATTGAAACATATTATGCAACCAAAATAAAAATAAAAAATCACTCGTTATAATTGCAATATTTTAATGAATTTAAAATTACATATATAAAATAACGCAATCAGCCAAAAAAAAAAAAAAAAAGTTACCATTATCTCAATTTTTCTATTTCTCATCCAAGATTTAAATCAAGATTCACTGGGCTTGAGGGATGCCCTCGACAGCCAATCTTGTTTATATCATTAAGTGATTTCCACTATACTTAAGAGTCAAAGTGGATATTGGGAAAGGTTTTAGTGACCATCACTATGCAATCTTGTCGAAACAATAGGGATATACTAACCCTTCCATACACTTCAAGATATACAAAATGATCACGTAAACGCTTCTACACAGCCCATCTCAGATATTATCCCAATTTCTCATCTTATCTACCCACTTTCCATTGTTGTTGAGCTCTTGCAACTTACTGGAACAAGGATACCATTTTTGCGTTGGCTCTTTTGCATGATTGCTTTCATTCCATTCTCACTGACTTATTAATTTGAAAGTCAATACTGATTGTGCACTTGAACGAAGTTAAAATCCTTTGTACTTCACTAAAATAACATCTCAGTAATTAAAACCCCTCTTAAACTTTCCGCAATCAACCACAAAACAACATTTTCAATTTCAAACATTTTGATAATCTCCAAATTCTAAATTATTCAAATTTACTATCGAACCAAGGTTCCAAGCACAAAACTGGAATAACACAGGAACACATTAAGTTTTTCTGGATTTTTTTCAATATCTTGCTAATACTTTTCTTCTCATTTTTTTGGCCAATTCTAGAAAATCTAATATCATTTATAGCAAACCCATTTGCTTTAAAAAGGACAATCATGTTGCTAATTTCTTGAAGCAAAGATTCGGAAAATAACAAAACAATGAGCCAGGAAAAATATGCAAAGCTGAGACTCATAAAAAAGCTTCTAACATTCTTGCCTAAATTCCTAAAACTATCTTGCCCAAAGCGGCTCTTGTTCTTCAAATCTTTCAAAAGCCTTCTTGAAAACTCTTTCATTAAGCAAACATTAAGCATTAAAAATGGGAGTTCCACCCTTGTAGGAAACCATCAAGAACATACGCTTGCCTATTTTATGTTTTTCCTCTTCTGACACCACAAACTTAAAATTTTTGCAATCTAGATGCGTGATTGTTTTA